CAGTCGGCAACCTTTTTTCTATTTTTTTCGACATAATTAATTTCACTCACTAATACACGCAACATTTTTCGGTCTCCAATTTTCTTACATCGGACCGCAGCTAGGTATATCGCATCCTCGGTTCATGCGGTCTCCACTTACATCCTCTGATGATGAATCCCACATGATTGTAAGCGAATCTTACATCCAGCGCTAATTTTTTTTTTTCAAAGATCATTTTACTATCATAAAAACTCTTTTTCTTCAATTTGCATGGGTGTTTTATTGAAAAAACTTCAAAACAATTGAGTTTCAATGTGTTTTCAAAACAGTTCACTTTCCACGCATTAGCTCGTCATCATGCCTTACTTTCAAACATACAAAAAAGGAATATTTTTTACATTTATTTTTATTTTCTTGCAGTAAAATACTGCTTTAAGGTGTAAACAACACGTTAGTACGTCATTTATCCATTGGTTTCACTAAAATGTTTGAATAATTGACGAAATTCGAATAGATAAATATGATCATGGTTGGACCTACGCATGATGATGGTTGGACCTATGTGTTTCCTAAGACGGCCGCTAGGTGCGCTTCGGTTTGTCTACATCCTTCATGCAGAGCTGATTTGAAATTCAATTTCGTTTTGGCCGAGTGATCAGTTTCTTCAATTGAAAAAATGGCTAAAGAAAAGAGTTATACGGTCGAAAATCTTCAAGAGGCTGTTCTTTTAGTAAGAAATAAATTACTTACCGCGTATCAGGCACAGAAAAGGTACAATATTCCGAAAACGACAAAAACGACGCAAAAATTAAGGGAATCCACGGCAAGAAATATGGAAGGGAAATAGTGTTGAGTGTTGATTTGGAGAACCAGCTAGCGGATTGGGTTTGTATATGCGCTGCTTTTGGCAGTCCCAAGACGACCAAAAAGATCTTGGAAGCTGCTAAAGACCTTGCGTCACTAGTTGGGCGTAAATTTAAAGGAGGAATTCCATCGTCAGGTTGGCTGAAAGGGTAACCACCGATTTCCGAACTACCACGAAAGCGCCGAAGGAATCTGTTAATATGAATTTACATTAAGCACTTTTCATACACTTTCTGGGTGTGAATTAACTTGAAATAAAATGTTAACAAACTAAAAATTGCTAACTGAAACTCTTAGGAGAAAAAGAACTATAAAACCGGAATTAATTTCTGATATTCTGTCATTTTAACATGCCCGGAAGTCGGGTCAATGATGTTTTCAATGTGGTCCAAGGCACTCAATTTTGTAATTGATCTTGTTATCGAATTTGGAAGTAACGTGAAGTGTCGCATGATAAGTTTTATTCCTTCCATGTCAAAATTAGGTCCATGTTCCATATACCCTGGAACTTGTTTCGGCCATATCTCCGGAACCAGTTGACCGATTCCAAAAATATTCGATAGCTTTCAAAGGGACCACAATACCTATAGTTTGACGTTAAAAAAAAAATCCCAAATCGGGTCAATGATTACCGAGAAAATGAGCCATGATGAATAGCTAATGCGTGGAAAGTGAACTTTTTTAAAAAAGAAGTTAAACTCAAATTTCTTGATTTTTTTTAAATAGCAAATTCATAAAAACTGTTTAAAAAGGGTTTTTTCATAATACAAATAAGCTCTAAACAAAGTTTTTGAACAAATATGGGCTAAACTAGCATTTGCAAAAATAGGTCCAACCATCATCATTTTTTAGGTCCAACCAAAATCAGTATAGGTCCAATCAACATCATAATTCTTTGCTGAATAAAAACGTATTATAAAATAATTTGTTCATAATATTTAACTTTTTAGGTTATTATTACAAACAAGGAAGGTAGATCTTTCCCCTAATCACGCATTTTTCATAATTATATGTTGAATTCATGAAAAAATGCGACATGCATGTTGACGTCGTGTGAAACCAGTCTAAATAGGTCCAACCATCATCAGTTACCCTATTGTCATAGCAAGATTCTTTTCAATCATTGCCACTTTATACGCTACAGAAACACTTGAGAAAACAATCACACATCCAAGTGCGCATCATGATGTGCTTGTAATATGTTTTGCTTTCGAGCGAAAGAGTTTCCAATATACCACCGGTATCAGTAAGATGCAAATCTTTAATAGTAATTGATGATTTTCGGAGCTGTTGTTGAAAACAATTTTAATAAGCATAGAAGCAAACAAGGGAAAAACCACAGACAAACAGACATAACACTAGCAAATTGTTCATCGACCAAGCATTGAACGGACAATTTAAAAGTATCGTAGTTGGTAGTACCGCCACCTGTGGCGCGCATAGTCAATTCCCTTGCGTTTGACGTTTACACACTACCGCCATCTGTACAGCGTAGTTCCCACCACAGTGAACACAACAGATGGAGTAATGTTTTAGCGACAATGTTTACAGTGAGAAATATCCAATAAGTTTATGTCTGTTTGTCTGTGGAAAAACTTTCCCTATTTCTAAAGAATAATTCCAACACCCCAGCCACTGTAAATGCAACGCATCGAAATCATTGCTAAACGTAATAAAATATGCCGTCTTCGTTGGCCAACGCATTCTATTCAAAAATTACGTTGGAATAATCATTAATTTCCTATTTTATAACATAGGAAGTATTTGTCAACGCCGGTGAACGTAAACGCAAACGTTTTCCTCCAACGCTGCAGTTCAACCATAGAGGTAACTCTAAGACTAGAAGGTCCCGAAGAAACGTGCTCAACTTTTTGGCTCAGCTCTGGTACTCTCTTCGGTCCCAAGCTATACCCCTCGAAACATAGAAAAATCCACGAACCCCTCATTTTATCTGTCATACTTTTATAGCGAATCAAAACAAACATACTGTAGTACTAGAATTTCGACTAGAATGCGGTACGTTAATCGATTTGCTTGGAACCAATAGGCTAGTCAAGTAGTGAGCCAATTTTAAATCGTTAGTTTCGAATTGATTGTTGGTTCAACGTTGTCTCATCACAAACCGTTTGGCGCTGTTATCTGTTTCTTCAAATTCCAAAGAGTGAAGGGGGTCTGGTAATTATATATATGTACTTGCTTGAAACACACGTTTTTGGGTATAAAGTAGCGTAAAAATTTTTTTTTGGTCACATCAGGTTAACATTTTCCGAAGAATCGATCAAAAGTTTTAAAGTTTTAAAGTATGGTAAAATTTGAGATACATTAAAAATGAACTTCAGAATCGGAACTACAACGGTACACTACATTGGTGAAGGTTTTGGAAAGTTAAATGATTATTTTCGAAAAATCACCCCAAAACATGGAATTTTAGAGCTACGTTCACAATCCTTGAAGGTACGCTATGGTACGTTTTTGGTACACTACGAAAAACATAATTTTATCAACTTTTATGAAAAGTGTCCTGCTGGATAGATTGACATGATATTAATCAGGAATATTTGTTTTAATTATGGTAATAACATACCTTTTCTTTGGTGATGCAATTGAAAATTTACACGGTTATTTTTCAATGTTTTTTTTCAATGAGTACACAGTGATAATAACGAATTTATGAGTAGACCTACGTGGTCTTTTGGTGGTTGTAAACATTAGGGTGGTCACGTTCATTATCCAAGTAAAATATCCGTTGAATTTGGTCAGCACCTGGCCATAAGGCTTAGGGGTTCGATTCATTTGTTTGCTGACTGAAAGCCTTCCCAGAAATCACATTGCCAATCATACCATAGAGGTAACTCTAAGACCAGAAGGTACCGAAGAAACGTGCTCAACTTTTTAGCTCAGCTCTGGTACTCTCTTCGGTCCCAAGCTAATCGATTCACCCCTCGAAACATAGGAAAATCCACTAACCCCTCATTTTATCTGTCAAAATTTCATAACGAATCAAAACAAACGTTGTGTAGTACTAGAATTTCGACTAGAATGGAATACGTTAATCGTTTGCTTGGGACCAATAGGCTAGTCAAGTAGTGAGCCAATTTAAAATCGTTAGTTTCGTATTGATTGTTGATGATACTGTGGGCTGCACCGAAGTTTGAATTAAGTTGATTCCACTAATGTGAAGTTCCAGGTCAAATAGCGAAAAAATAATCAAATTTTAGATTTCACCTCTCAGCATTCCATGGAACATCGCATAATTGATCGCAAGGGGCAATGAACCAAGTTTGTGCTAGAATGCGGCCATTTTGACTTAAGGCTAACCTGTCAATATGGCGTCTTCGATATTTTTCGAAAACGGCTCATCTAATCGAAATGGCGTCTGAGACAAAGTAGTGAGAAACTGGTTTGTTTTTTTTTCAAAAAAAAAAAAATATACACTTAAGAAAATCTAAACTTTTCGTCAAAAAACAAATAAAAAGCTGTTAAATATTTAAATAACAAAAAAGCGCATTTTTTGAAATTATGTTTATTTGAAAGCATATCAAAAATGCTAAATGGACACAATGGACAGTTCGAAATTGACCAAAATTGTAAAACATAAACTTTTAGTCCAAATTTTGAACTTTTTATCACGCAATATTTATGTGATTTGTACATAAGAAACGATTTTCTGGACTAAACAAATATGTTTTCTGAATAAGAAACTGTAAAAATTAATTATAGTAAAAAAAAAAATGCAAAATTTGATTAAGATACAAGGACAGGTTTAATGCTTCAGTTGTAGCATAATGTGCATCCAGAATGATCAAGTAGTAGCAAATGTGGGTCAACCATGTAAATAAACAACACCCAAACGAGTATATTAAATTCTCATTCTGAAATATGAGAAAATGCACCCGAACAATAGTTGTGCTCTTGTTATCTGTAATAACTCAATAACATGTAACAAGATACAGTGAAACTAGTAAACAACCAAACTAGGATAGTGGGTGGCGTTTGCGTAAACATAATTAGGTTAATCTTGATACAGACGTCTAGTTAAAACCTTAAATGACCAACCACTTCACTCAACAAATGGTTTGAATTGCTTCACCACTTGTCTGTTACATAGGTATATCAGTTGACATCATGCATTATTTGAGAACGTTCAAACCTACCTGATGAAACACTCCTTCGGTTGTCGAGTTGAATTTCTCGTCGTCGGCTTCCTCTTTCTGCTGCAAATACTGCGCATCCAGTTCCACTAGCTTCCCATCCATGTAGAACGAAGCCAAAACAGTCGATTCCAGAAGCTCTTCCGTTTGATCCTTTGCTTCCGAGGAATCGTTCGTCAATGCTCGACCTGATGGCAGCGAGTCTAGCTTTTGCACTTCACTTTGACCGTTCAAACTTTCTTTGCTACCCCTACTGGCGGTGACTGCCAGCCTGACTGAGCCGTGCTGGTATTCGGCCGGTTGCAGCTGCGTTTCGATGACGGTATCACCCGCGAGGGGAGACTTTGCACTGCTGTTGAGGTAAATAATTTGCACATTGTTGGTGGTTATTGACGGTTTTGCAAAATATATTTCCCGAAAGAAAAATGTTACTGATTCCAAGACGATTGGAATTTGTAAGAATTATTGTTTGATTCTTGGACTTCGGACCGTAGTTTGGAACATCTATAGTTCTGTTACACATTTTTTTTTTGAATTGTTAATCCTGCTTTTTTTTTATTTTGGAATGCTTTGCAAACCTAGAACAAATTAATTTGTGGATATTTCAAACTAAATCTTTGATTTAGAACTGTTTTTGAAAATCCCGACTCAGGATAAACTTTAATTATTTTTGCTAGGAATACTCAAATTTTTTCAAAACTTCACAATACTTAAAGTGCGCGATTTCCAGTCTCTATACATTTTCTGGGCCTGTTGTAGTGAATGTAAAATTTGTTCAAACTTGTCTCTAAAAATTTGGAAAACCATGATCTTTGTTAAATTCGCTGCATTCAACATCCTAGATTTTTTTAACCGCCTCAAACTTTGAAAAGAGTTTTTCCAATTTTCTACTTCTGAAATGTTTGACCATAATCCTCAGAAAATCTGATGATTTACGGATGTATTTGTATTCAGGTCCTCGTTCAAACTATTTTTGAATGTATTGGACTTAATCAAGCTAGTCGAAATAATTGTAAATTTGTTGTCCTCTGATGTTATGTGCTTACGATTGTAGTTTTAAACATCAAGTTAACATTTTTCGAAACCAAATTTAGTGTTCTTGTAATTTCTCTGCTGCCGCCTTAGAATTCCCTTCCCACTTTCTTCGTCCAGATGTTCGACTTCACGGACGGCACTCAGAGATCACCTCTCGTATCACTTCGCTTTAAATTTAGCTCACAAAATCATCTGGCCCATTTCCCAAAATTATGTCATTGCCATCGTTTTATCTATACGAGCGCGATTCTGGTGTTCTCGATTCGGTACACGCACGTACATTGTGCATATAGACCTGTGATGCCACCCATCCCACACTGTCGGTCTTTGACGTTCGGGGACGTCTCTAAGGTTATTCTCTTCGTCCACATATCACTTTCATTCGCACTCGAAATGGTATTGGGACCTTTCTACGCTTCTGCCCCTCGTTTATGTATTATCCTTCCAGAAAGGACCGATCCATGTGTGGGCTGCTAACGTTCGTTGACCTTTGGCTATATTTACACATGCCTGTATGTACTTCCACTCTGCATCATTAACCACACCTATCGACTATTTACCTTTTATCGAACTTCATTTTGGTTTCTTCTTACTAAACTTGCACACTGCCGTACATAATTTCTTTGTAGACAATTCAAACAATTCACTTCACCGAACAAGTTTGCACTTCAGTCTCTCAATCAATCAAACACTCAATATCGCCAGTGAAAAATCGCAAAGATCACGCGCACCCACTTCGACGTCGTCGTTGGAGGGTCTTATCAGTACAGCAGTCCAGCAGCGAATGTCCACTGGCCGCTAGAATCGATTTGGTATATATATTTTATCCGGTTGTGGTGTGGACTTGCACTTTCAACGACTCCGTGATGATGTTCGCGCGTGAGGCGACTGATATGCCTCGCAGTCTCGTGCCAGTTTCGGTGGATGCTGGTGGTGACGTGATAGTCATCGATTCATTCGAGAGAGAACTATGACGTCGCTGTTCTGTGAGCGACGAGTGCGCGATTGCGTGATTGCGAGAGTACTTCTCTGTTTTTGTTTTGACGGTTGGAAGCGATAGCGAAACCATCAACAAGCGAAACAGGTTCCAACAGCTGACTTGTGTAGCAGTAGTCGTGTCATTGAGCGTATGACCCTTTCGGTACCCGATGTCTTTGGTTGGCTTCTCAAGAGTATAATACTCATTTTGAAAATCTTTTCCAATGTTCTACGAAAACCATGCACTTTTTCAGTGGTCTTATTGCACCTTAAACATCCATCCACCTTGAAGATGAATGAGAAAGATTTGGAATTACGGTAATGTGAAATTGTTGAAAGATAGAAGTCTGATGCGCAGAGGGGCTGGCAAAATCGGGTCATTACTGTATTGCGAAATTTTACTGCACTTAAACTCGATCGACATTAATATCGTCGTTTGCAATATTTCAAGAGCAAATTTTCATTACGTCGAAAGTAACAAAGGTAAACAAAGTCGAGCTATCAGTGTAAATCGATATACTGTCTACTGTCCGAATATAGGATCACATCCCATTTTTAAATTTATTTACCAGTCAAATTGCTTTTTGACGTAATCACCTTCCGATCGAAATATTTTTCGATGTTACAGAAGTCACCCGATTTCTATGGGGATGCCGTTTGTCTCAAGTAACAGCGCAGGGAAACCCGTAAAAAGTGTACGTTCGTCGTTTCGCTTTCTCATTATTAAAGTGAATGAATCGAAATGTTTGTTGCTAAGATGATTTTGGTGGTCCTAAAATGATGAATGGGCTGCACGTAAGGAGACGTGATTGATAATTCTCCCGAATATCCTGGTTAATAGCGTTAGCGTTAGCGTTAGCGTTGTTATGATATACTTCGTAGATTGGATACTAGCGACACTCACGTCTCTTCTGAAATTCTCAGTAAGACTACTTTCAGGAATAATGCTGGGGAGTAAACATTGGTTCCAATCAAAACAAGAGTAACAGAAGCATGACTGTCGCTATTCCCGGCCACGCCCATCTTTACCATAACTAGGGATAGGGAAGGAAATGTTGATGTAGTACTTACTTAACGAGAGGCCACCGACTTAGCGACACCCTCATAAGTGCTACGGAGTTGGAGGGTTGGGTAGGGTATTCGGTTAGGATTCACCTCAAGTTGGCGATGCAACCAAAAGTATGTATTGTTTATTTGTTGTTTATTTAATCTATCGATAGCCGGCTATCGAAAGAACATATTCATTTTGTTTAGTGAGCATGAATTTTAAGAGTCATGACGGAGAGCTTGGGATTAAACCCATGATTTTCTGCTCAGTAAGCAAAAACGATCCCTCCAGGGTCATCGAGCATCTCAGAACCATAACGCTTCGCGACAATACAGGACTACGTTTTCGCTTGATATGCAAATAGTTTCCAAGATTAATGTTCAATATCAAATATACAAATGATGGTGGCGATTTATTGTGCTGTGGAAAGCTTGAAATTAAATCCATGATTTTTTGCTCAGTAAGCAAAATCGATCCCTCCAGGGTCATCAAGCATCTCATAATCCACAGCGCTTCGCGTCAAAGTCCGAATATATGGATGAACTATCTATTATTGAATAACTATTATTTACGATAATTACATGAAAGAAATAAAATATAAACTACAAACAAAACGTGACTACTAAAATCTCAAAAAGATATTCTCACAAATATATTTCATGCAACCAGGAATCTCAAAACCATTAGACCCTATAATGATACTCTGCACATGTTAGACACAAGAATAGGCCAAAAAGCAAACGTCCGACTCACAAAACCTGTCAAATCCACTTGCAGTCACAATCAACGGTTCTACGAATCGCGAGCGCTCACGAATCATAAAACCGCTGACTGCGACATTCTGAAAGCGAAATTGGCAGGCTCTATGCGTCAAACTCCCGCCCTTCAATCTCCTCCTGCATCCAACAACACAAATCTCCATTACAACACCTATGGTGGTAAGCTCCAACCGGTATTATCCTCGGATTAAATCCCGATCAAGAATGTCCGGCTGGTTTGATGTCGACATCAGAGTTAATCAACATAATTCTGATCAAACATTTTTCAGATCATACAAACAGGGACGGTATTAAAAGTTAATCCGAGTTGGAGCTTACCGCCACTAACGAATAAAACTCCGAAAATCACTTTTTCTGCCTATCTTTCTATTAGTTCTGCGGACATGCGTTAGCTTCGAAACTTCTAACCAAACTAGGAAAATTTTCAGATCACAAAAAAAAACTTTTAAACGTAATTACAAAATAAATATTGATTATTTTACGCAAAAACGAGCACTTTTGTATCGTATGCTAAAAATAAAGTATTAATATAATTAAATGCAAAATTTACTAGAAAATCATTACTTTATTGGTGAGAAGTTTCTAATAAGCCCTCCCAGTTCCTCCGTATACAGAACAAATCTGATACTATAATCAGAATTGCTCAGTCTGCATGAAGCTGCTCATTTCATCAAGGAAGTTCTATTAACAACCAAGAATTAATCGTTTGAGGCATACTGAAGCATTAAGAAGGTGATATGTGTCACTATAGGAAATCATCATCGTTGCAAATATAAAGAAATTAAACATAACCCTTTGCTTCAGTATCGTCAACCTCCATGTCCATGGGGAGGGACTGTAACCGACGATCTTTCAAATCCGAAAACTAAAAACTACGAAAAAGTACTTAGGCCTTCATTAAGTTCCACTTTCACGCGACGTTCAATGACAGGGTCCTATCCAGGATTACATCTGAAAAATCCAAATCTGGCCAACGCCCACCTAAACCTGTTCTAGTCCACCTGAAATGACTAACGAATGGAAGACTTTGACTACCCAGCCATGCAATAGTCTCATCCGTGCCTTATGGCAACTTGATGATTCTATTGCGCTCATCTTTTGGCACCACCCAGGGGAGACTTGGTCCTGTACCCAATGCTTAACTTATCTCCATTCCACTCAGCTACTCGCAATTTCTTGTGATATAGTGGGCGGAATATTATTATATGAGACAATTCAATGCAGACGTCTTTCCAAATTTGGCAGATCGACAGGTAATCGGTGAGTTACCACGATAGTTGCTATTCAACAACTCGACAACGTCCCATCGTCAACGCCTGCTATGAGAATTTCCCATTGCAGACGCCAACGAAATGACGTCATCGAGCTATCGATCAACTACCCTGGTTATCGCCTGGTACCTTATAGCACGGTGCTAGGAGGCGAACCGGAAGAATCGATGAGCTACCTCTCCCCCAATTCTCCCGAATATCCTGGTTAATATACTTTAACTTAAGTAACCAGTATTTTGACGCAGGACTACGTCTCTGATTTCTATATGCGGGTACACTTTGTGAAAACCGAAAATGGAACATGTAACAAAATTATGGAAGATTTTGAACATTAATAATTCAGCTGCCCCTGGACCAATTTCAATAATTTTATCACCAATCGATCAGAAATATTTCTACGCATCAATAGTGATGCTTCCGACTGATGATTTTCAACAAGAAACTATTGCAAAAGGGGTAATGTCAAGCATTATCAAATGAACAAATAAAAAGTGATAGTTTTATCACTGTTTTCATGAAATAAACGTTCTTCCCCAACCCAGTCGTTATAATCGAGTACCACTTGGTAGCACGTCATTCTGCTTTAACCTGAAAAGATATAAAAGAGCGATGCTGTCTAGCCTCAACTCATCATTCGTTGCTAGACCGTCTAGCAGTATAGTTCGTTCGTTCGTTCGCTTCGCTATCGAGTTTTTTTCTAGTTCGTTTTTTTTGCTACGTTCGCGTCGTGGAAGTGCCGTCATCGACAGGCGCATTGGCAAGTCTAATTGCACTTGCCAATAAACAAAGCATGGTACGCAAGCGTACTACTGCTCCTGCATCGGAGGGCCCTAGCAAGAAGGCCCAAACGGATCCCAGCGCTGCTTCGGATGACGCAGCAAATCGGCTGCTACAGAACAACCAATTCTCTGTACTCGGAGTAGAAAATGGCGGTGGTGCCGCCGCTGAAATTGCGAAAAAGGAACTGGCAAAACGCAAATTGTTTTCGCGATTCAAAATCTGTAGCGTTGGAACAAAGATCATGTGCTCCAGCCTACAGTACAAGTCGGTCGGTGACCTGCTGAAGAACAGCACAGTGGAGTTTTACACTCACGATTTGCCTTCGATGAAACGATTGAAGGTTGTTTTACGAGGTCTGCCGTCGTACGAAGCGGCTATCATAAAAGATGAGCTGGTGAGGCTCGGATTGAAACCAGAGGCAGTCCACCCAATGAATCGACGGCCTATACCCAATACCAACTATCGTGACCAACTGTTTCTGGTCCACCTCACGAAGGGCTCCACCACCCTTGCTGCGCTTAAGAGCAACATACGTGACCTGTTTCAGGTAATTATCGACTGGGAATACTACAAGCCGCAACACCGTGATGTGACCCAATGCACAAGTTGCCTCTCCTTCGGCCATGGCACGAAGAACTGTCATATTGCGACAAGTGTTCTATGGCCCACTCGACGGCGACTTGTGCTCAAGCTGATGACACTGACCCAAAGTGCGTGAATTGCGGCGGAACTCACCGTGCCACTACTCGGGACGGTGGCTACTAGCAACCAGCCAAGCCGGCATCGAAATAAACGTGCACCACCAGCCATCACGGACGAACAATACCCGGCAATCCATCCTCGTCGTCTGGTCCCAAATCTTCCCCCGCTACCTCTCAACAACAGTCAACGAGCCGCCCCCTCAGCTCAGCATCGCCTCACTGCTGCTGCAGCTCTGCCAAATCACGCTTCTGCCTCGGCGCCTGGACTATCGTATGCCCGTGTTGCCTCAGGTG